GGCCTCCTCAAGCTGTCGGCCCCTTCCACCCTCACAACGCCAGGTCCGGTCTCAGCATTTAGGCCATGCCCTGGTACATCAGCCTCCCCAGCAGCCTCCCTGCCTCCAGCCTTGCCCCTCCCAAACTATGTATGCCTCTGTGTTCACTTCCCCCTTTTACCATCTTTCTGATCCTGTCGACTTTCCTGCTTAAAACGTTAAGGGGCCCTCTGTCAGCCTGGAGCTAAAGCCTAAGTTTTAGCCTGGTCCTTCTTTACCTGTTCTCTCCGACCCACCCACTGCCCCAGGCCCGTCTCCCCCTCTCGTCCATCCTCTGGAGCAGCCGTGACACCCCGTATGGTGTTTCTCGAACAGCTCCAGTCTGCTCTGTGGCAGATGCGGCTTCTGCTGCTCAGACCCTTCTTCCTCCGCTGCCCTGGCATCCCTCCCTGAAGTCCTTTCCGGAGTCACCTCCCCCAGGAGGCCTTCCTTGACCCCCGGCGCCCAGGCTGGTGAGGTCTGGTGGCCCCCCGGCTGGCGCCCTCCCGCATGGCGCCACACTTGTGTTCCAAGGGCTTCTGTCCTGGGGCCGCCTCTCCCTCGCCCTGTGGCCTGTGAGATCTCGAGGGAAGACTCGTGCCCAGCTCACAGCCCTGACCTCGCTGACCTCCACAGGCCCCTAAGCGATGACCGACCTCAACTTGTTTCAGAAGTTACCAAGGTTCAGTGTGGGGAGGCAGGCTTGTCTTTGCCTAAAACAGCCTCCCATCCCCTCACTCTGGGCTGCGGAAGGCACGGCAGAAGTGAGCCTTGCTCGGGAGACTCCCCTGGGGTGGGCTGCTCTCCTGGCGTCCCGGCCAGCGTCAGACCCTTGACTCCTGTGGCTGTGCCGCGCACGCCCGCCCCGCTCTGTGCCAACCCTTCTTGACGCTTGCCTGCACATGGCAAACACCACAGAACTCTGAAATCATCTGGACGGAGCCGGGTCATGATGGTTTAAAGCACTGCCCAGGTGATCGTAAACTCGAAACCCCTCAGACCCAGTCATCCTGGAGGAGTGGTTCTCGTGTCTGACCGTACACTGACGTCACCTGGAGAGCGCCATGGGCCCACCGTCCCTGACCCGACAGATCGGAGCGCACCGCGTGGTGGCCGTCCAGCCATCTGCCCTGAATTCTGTAGGATCCTCCCTCTCTCCTTCCTCCCTCCCTCTCTTTTCCTTTTCCAGAAACATGTGCTATGCTCTGCTGGTGGAGCCTGAGTGCTGCGGTGAGTCAGACACTGCCCCTGCTGGTGGGGCTGTTAGTTCAGGGCCGTTAGGAATGAGAGAGCACCCCCCCCCAACCCAAACACAAAAAGAAACCCACCGTAAGGGAACCTGTCCCACGGCCAGCCTGCAGGGCCCTCTCCAGCTCCCTGCAGCTTCACCGGGCTGCCGGGGGCCAGGACCGCTGGAGACGCCTGGCTGGAGTCTTGTCCTGCCCCCGAGTCACAGAGAGGCCCGGCTCTCTGCTCACAGGCTGGAGCCGCGTGTGGCCATTAGGATGGGGGCTGTCCGCGGGTTCTCCCAGACCCTGCATCAGGCTGGCGGTGGTGGCAGGGTGGGCAGAAGCTCTCGACTTTTTCTTTGCAAGTTCAAGGTCTGCACACCCGTGGAGGTGCCTCTGAGTGTGTCTGTCCCAGTCTTGGGGGAGCTCAGGTGACGGGGTGCTTGCAGGAGCTTAAGGTCCCTTTGACAGAATCAGCCGGAGCTCGGGGCATGTATTTTAAAGTTGAGGTAGGAGAAATTCCCTGGTGGCTCAGTGGCTAAGATTCCACACTCCCAGGACAGGGTGCCTGAGTTTGATTCCTGGTCAGAAAACAAGACCCCACATGCCACAACAAAGACTGCAGATCCCATGTGCTGCAAGTAAGACCCGGTGCAGCCAAACAAAGCAAAACGCTGAGGTAAAATCCACACAACGTAAAGTTAAGGGCATTAGGGTGAAAACCCCAGTGGCACTGAGTACATTCACGGTGTTGGGCCACTCTCACCTCCATCTAGTTCTGAAATGCTTTAGTACCCCAAAAGGAGGCTCTGTCCCCGTCAGCAGTCATCTCCCATCCTCCCGGCAACCTGCGGGCTGCACTCTGTCTCTATGGATTCACTTATTCTGGATATTTTATATAAATGGAACCATAGAGTATGTGGCCTTTCATTTAGCATGTTTTCAAAGCCCACCCACATTTGTATGAGAACTTCGTTCTTTTTTATGGCCGAATAATAGTCTGTTGTACAGATAGACCACAGTTTGTTTATCCATTTGTCGGTTGATAGACATTTGGGCTATTTCTACCTTTTGGTTACTGGGAAGACTGCGCATTTAAAATCCATTATGTCTGTGCCCCAGATGCCTGCTCACTGGGTGCTCCTAGGTCCCCAGCGTTGGGCAGTGGTCTGGGGGTCTCTGTCCCTGTAGTAGTCATGCCATCCCTGGGGGTCTAAGTGGGATATACATCTTTGGGGCACCTTTTGCTCCAGTTCTGGCCCCTGACTTCTCTCTCTCCACAACTTGCTGGGGGACTCCAGTCTGCACGCTGTACCATCTCCCCCCTCAGCTGCTACCACCCCGGCCCTGGCCAGGAGGCTGGCGAGTGAGCAACAGGCCGCAGCAGAGAGCTTAGAGAGGGGTTGGTGGAGAGGGCGGACAGCATGTTGTGTGTGCAGTCATTTGGAAATGAATTTCATCTGTCACCATATAAAAGGGAAAAATGCTTTTTCTCTGTACCCTTGCTTCTGACACCAAACGTGTGGTTTTTTCCCACACCATGCAATTCTCCAATTCTTGGTGGAGGCTGACTGAATTCCCTATGACTTCACTCAATTCTGACATTAACTGTCCTATGTTAGCACACACCCCACAGGTCAAGGGCTCAGTCCCACAAGCCCGTGTCCACTCAGATGCCACTCGCAAATCTCAGGCTATAAACTGGGGCTCTCCACCACTTCCCCCACAGGCTCAATGATTTGCTAGAATGGTTCACAGACCCCCGGAGAGCACTTTACTTACTGTTACTGATTTATTGTGAGGGATATTAAATGATACACATGAACAACCAGATGAGGAAATACATGGGGCGAGGGCTGGAAGTCTCCTGAGCAGGAAGTTTCTGTCCCAGTGGAGTCTGGGGTGCACCACCCTCAGAGGCATGGATGTGTTCTTGTTTACCAACCTGGAAGGTTTTTGAGCCCCTTCAGTTGGGTTTTCTGAAGCCTTCATGATTTATTAAAGCATTGGCCGCTGGTGGTTAATTTGCTCTCCAGCCCCTCTTTCTTCCCTCCGAGGTGAGGGAGGCAGTTAAGTTACAACCTTCCTATCAGTGGTTTCTTCCCCAGTCTTAGGGGCCTTCCAAAAGTCACCTCATAACATAATATAGCATTAACTCAGGTATAGTTGAAAGGGGTTGTTATGAATAATAAAAGTTGCTCCTTTCACTTTTATGAATTGGAATTATTTCAGGAACTGGTCACAAAAACCAAATATTAGAACAAAAGATTCTGCTACCCTTCTCTTCTCATGTAGGAAATTATAAGGGTTTTAACTCCATGCCAGGAGCTGGGAACAAGACCAAATAGATGTGTTTCTTATATCACAATAGTCCGCTAACCTGAAACTTCATATCCACATGCAGAGGAATTTCATGGACAGTGTCTGCCCATAGGATTCAAATGATTGCATCCCATATCCATCTTCCTCTTTTCCTCTTCATATTCCTTTCTTTCAGGATTTATAGCTGCTAACATATGACTCCTTTGGGAGCAATGCAGAATCCCATCTCTTCTTATCCTTATAAACCATGACCTGAGGTGGGAAGGAGATAAGATAGGGACGCCCCCTCACCCCAAGATGATTTTATTTTTCTTCCAAATCAAAATAAGCCTTCTCTCCATGACAAGAATTCTGTCATATTTCTAGGCCAACTGACTCAAAAGGCTACCAGCTTTGAAAGTAATGTAGAAAAAAATTCAGTATATAATACTCAGAGCCCAGCATCAGGGAGGTTACCCCACCACTTTGCACACAGGTGGTGGCATGGGGCCAGTGCAAACCTGAAGGTGCCTCTGAAATTAACCACTTCATCCTTTCCAGTAAACCTGATGGTGCCTTTGGTTGGTTTGGTGTTGTATTTTTTTAAAGCTTGTTGATAATGGTCAAGAGCTGGGCTTTCATTGTGAGCAATTTTGGAGACCATTAGATGCTTCTGAGCAGAAAGAGGATATAACTTGACTTAGATTTTGAATGGAGTTCTCAGGTTACTGTGTGAACGCACGTAGGGGTCGAGGAGGCCGCTACTGAGAAGGCAGTTGCAGTCCCACGGTAAGGGGTGATGATGGCTCTGGCCCCAGGGAAGCTGCCTGAGAGCGTAAGAAGCGATTCCATGATGCATATGTTGGAGGCAGAAATGATAGCTTCTGCTAGTGGCTGGGAGGTAGAGCGTGAGGAAAAGAGTCAGAGAGAACTTCAAATTCTTTGGCCTGAGTGACTGCAAAGGTGGCGTTGACATTTTCTGAGATGGGTAAAGTATGGGTGGAGCAGGATGGGAGGGGAGCAGGGGTTTGAGAATGCAATTCAGGTGAGTATTGGACATCCAAGTGGAGGCAGCATAAACTTTGATATTTGAGATTGGAACTCAGTAGTGGCAGGGAGGTGGTGATCAAAGGCAGAATTACTGAAAGTGATGGCTTCATGATCAACCCCTGCCAACATAAAATTAACAGGGAAAGTACATGGGGAGGGGAGCGGACCTCACACATGGGGCCAAGATGGAGCTTCCGAGAGTATCGGAAGACGGAGACACCAAGGCTCAAAGATTGCAGGTTGGTGACAGAGCTGAGAATGAGCTGGTTCTTGGGGTCCCTGGTCACCCCCTACCTTTTCTAACATACCAGGCTTCCTACCAGCTCTAGGTTTGGAAGGCTGCATGTGTGGACAGAAAGCAGGCAAGCTGAGGCTGGAGCCTTCTGTTCTGTGTTTCTCCAGGTCACCATCCTCGTCAGCCTGGCCCTAGCTTTCCTCGCCTGCATCGTGTTCCTGGTGGTTTACAAAGCCTTCACTTATGACCACAGCTGCCCAGAGGGGTTTGTCTACAAGGTAAGGGGCTTCTGGCAGGGGAGTGGCTCCTGATGACCGTCCAATTCAGTTCGAGGGTCAACATCTTTTCATTGGCATTGAAATTCTGGGTATGGTAACCTCCCTGCAAATTGTTTAAAACATAGTATGTGTCTGAAGAAAATGGAAACACTCATTTGAAGATAACATGCACTCCAATGTTGATAGCAGCACCATTTACAGTAGCCAAGACATAGAAGCAACCTATGTGTCCATCAATGGTGAATGAATAAAGATGTCATGTGTGTGTGATGTATATACATACACATGTTTTATACCTGTTATACACACAACGGAATACTACTCAACCATAAATAAGGAAGAAAATTTGCCACTTACAGCAGCATGGATGGACTTGAAGGGCATTATACTAAGTGAAATAAATCAGACGGAGAAATACAAATACTGTATGATATCACTTATATGTGGGATCTAAAAAATACAACAGCCTAGTAAATGTGACATAAAAGAAACAGACTCACAGACATAGAGAACAAACTTCAGTTACCAGTGTGTAGAGGGAAGTGGAGAAAGGCAAGATAGAGGTAGAGGATTAAGAGGTATGAACTCCTGTATATAAAATAATAAGCTATAATGATCCCTTGTACAGCATGGGAGTAGAGACAATATTTTATAACAACTGTGAATGGAGTATAACCTTTAGAAACTGTGACTCCTGTTGTTATACACCTGAAACTTATGAAGTACTGTAAGTCAAGTATACCTCAGTAAAAAAGAAAACTTTATGCACTCAATAAAGGCATTGAAATATGTTTTTTAAAAAAGTGTAAAGAAATATAGACGTAACACCAAAGCAAAATTGATGGTGGCAATCTAAAATTATTTTCACTCTCTAAAATGCTGTGTATTCACAATACATTTTGATGTGAAATTATAAAATCACAATAAAAAAGTCCTGTGTGTGGCAGGAAGTTTTCGGGCTTTCATGAAGCACTTGGTCTCCAGTAGGCAGTAGAGGGCGCTCTCCAGAGTGTGGGAAAGGGAGGCAGGCCGGCTTGGGAACAAGTCAGAAGTAGATCACTGCGCCTTGGGGCGATCCTGGTTTAATGGCTGATTCCTTGTCCCTGCAGAGATGTGAAGACAGGGAGCAGAACTTCTGAGGTGGTCTCTCCCGTCTTGCAGCTGTGCCTCCTTCTCCCCCAGTCTGATCGCACGCCTTCCCTTGAAAGACAGAACTGACTGCAGGACCCCCCAGCCCTCCCCCCGCCCCTCTGAGCCACAGGTTTCTCGCCTGCAGTGGGCACCCATGATGTCTGCCCACGGGATTTTGGAGAGAATTTAAGTAAAATCAAGACAGCAAAGGGCCTGCTAGAGAATGGGCTGGCAATAACTGTTAGAGGTAAAAAAGCTAGAATCTAGTTCAGAGCTGACACGAATATTGATGTTACCACTTACTGAGTTCCAATTAGATGTCACCTTCCTTCCTAGACATTTTCATAAATAGTAGCTCAGTTGAGCTGTCCACCCGTTCTGAAAAGGAGGTTTCATTGCCCCCATTTTGCATCTGAGGAAACGGAGATTAAGAGCATTTTGTCTTGAGAGTTTTCCAAGACATCACTGCTGTTACGTTCCAAAGTGAGAGAATCAAATGGGAATGTTCTGCCTTAAAAACACATGTCCTTTGGTTCTGCTACATGACTTCCTAAGATGACCTTCTTAGGCGTTAGAAGCTGGGGTTCTGAAAGACTAGCAACCACTATCAGTATCGGGATGTCAGTAGGAGACAGTGGAATAAACTATGATGTGTCTGCATATGGAATTCCAAACAACTGCAACAGTGAGTAAGGGGGTCTCCAGACACAGAGAGAGAATACCCTCTGGGATAAGAGTGAAGAAAAAAAGGTGCTATTTTTGAGTGAGGAAAGGGAAAGTGAATGATGTTTGCTTATATTTTCAGAAAGAAATTCTGGAAGGATAAATTTAAAAAAAAACCAACTAAGAAATATAGTGAGTCAGGTGGGCAGGGAGGGAACAGAAGAAATAGGAATGAGGAGCCAAGGCTTCTCTGGCTTTATCTTGATATGCATTTGTCCTGGATGTGTGTCACTGTTTGACATGTTTGTAAAAACTAAATTAAAAAAAAAAGTCCTGAAATTAAAACCAAGCTAAAATTCAGCTGTATATCAAGTTGAGGACTAAACTTACCAAGAAAATAATTGCTCCAAATGACTGTATAATATAGTATACTGACTCTATGCCCTCAGTGGAATATATTCTAAGGACACACAGAGCTGCAGAGAAATGATATAGTCAAAATTCAGTAGTCTGTAACTCATCATATTGCTGTTATTTTGGGACCACTGGATTGATATTGTAGGATAATGCAAATATATAATTATATGTTGCTAGGAACCAAGGCTTTGATATAAGAAGAAAGAGTAATTAATATCCAATCAAAGAAAAGAAATGGACAGCAATTGGCTACAGGCAGTGGTCCAGTGAAGCAGTTAGGGGCTGAGTGAATCAGCCAGGTGAAGAGCTATCAACAGTGTCCACTGTATCCCTACAGTTAGTAAGCAGAAGGCGTTGACCTTGAATTAGTATTGGCATCAGTTTCCTCCCTCCTCCCCTCCCTCCTTTTCCTTCCTTTCTTTCTCTCTCCCTCCTTCCCTTCCTTTATTTCTTCTCCTTTTATTGAGGTTTAATTGACATATAACACTATATTAGTTTCAAGTGTTCAACATAATGATTAAATATTTGTAAATACTGCAGAATAAGCACTGCTGTAAGTCAGCATCCATCACTCTGCATAGTTTCAATTTTTTTCTTGCGATGAAGACTTTTAAGACCTGCTCTCTTAGCTACTTTCAAATATCCACCTCAGTATTATTAACTGTAGTCACTATGCTGCACATTACACCCCCAGGACATACTCGTTTTATAACTGGAAACTCTTACCTTTTGTTCCCCTTGACCCATTTCTCTCACCCCTTCTCCGCCTCTGGGAACAATTCCAGCATCAGGTTAGTTTCTTCTGGCTTCTTGTAGGTGGCAGCTTTGATGATGGTGATGGTGATGACATGAAGGAAGTTCTGACGAGTACCAGGCCCAGGCCGGATGCCATCCCCTGCCGGCTGGCTGCGAGCCGGGGTTGGCCGGGGCCCCCAGATGGGGTGGCCTCATTGCAGGGCAGGTGGGAAGCATTCGCTGAGCTCCTCCTGACTGTCTCTCTCTTCCCCAGCACAAGCGCTGTATCCCGGCCTCCCTGGATGCTTACTACTCATCCCAGGACCCCAGCTCCAGAAGCCGCTTCTACACGGTCATCAGCCACTACAGCGTGGCCAAGCAGAGCACCGCCCGGGCCATCGGGCCGTGGCTGTCAGCAGCTGCCGTCATCCACGAGCCCAAGCCGCCCAAGACCCAGGGCCATTAGAGGCCCCCGCCCAGCCAGCATGGGGAGTGGGGAGGGGAACCCCGCTGGCTAAGCCGAGCTCCAGTTACAAGACAACACTGTACTCCTGGGATATGGGGGCGGGGGTGGGGCCGGGGTGGGTGGGGGGAGCTCACCGAAAATCTCGTGCACTGGAGTTGTCTGAATCAGTATTTCTTTTTGTCCTTTGGTATCGTTGATTCGTCCCCGAGTCAGGCCCATGTACAAAGGCATGTTTCGTGTTGACTGTTCCCATGTAAGATATTTTCAAAGCCACTGCTTATTATTTGTTAGGAAAACTTAAAAACAGGAAAGGAGAGAAAGAAAACAAACATGGAATTTGTAGACTGGCTGCATCTGGAGTGTGTTGAAGGGTGGTGAAGAGCACAGACGTTCCGGGCTGCTCAGACTGGGGGGGATGGTTGCTTCAGGGTGGGCTTCGGAAGGTGCAGAATGCGGGTGAGGCAGGCAGTCTGCTCGCTTGGCCTCTGGCCTGCAGAGGAGGAATGCTGAAAGTTAGGAACTGTCAAGTTAGAAAGAAGACTAAGTTTGGCATTTGTAAGGCCGGGTTGCACACAACCCAGAGAGAAAAGCCTCAACCATGTGTGTTTTGCAAAGTGAGGATAAACTTGTCTGTATGGGCATCGGTGCGGGGCTTGGGCTGCATGGTCTGGGGATGCGGAGGATAGAGGCAAACACTGAACAGCGGGCAGGCTTTCTTTGCCTTTCTCTTGAGTTTCTAGCCCTATACTGGGTGCTGCCCACGTTTAGGAGATGGCAGGGGTAGAAAGAAGAGGAAAGAGGGACTGCAGGATGAAGAAGGCAGGACGGGCAGGTGACGTTTGGCCAAGCTGTAAGCCCCGCACCCAAGTTTAACGTTTTTGTCAGTTTGTTGTTTCCTGAAATGATAATGACCAGGAAGAACAGGAAGGGTCGTGACCAGGTGACAGCCAGGGAGGTTTTTGATTGGGTCTCAGCAATGCTAAGTCATTTTTTCTAAGGGAAACTGAGAACCGTGGCCGTCTCGTGCACACTTCACTGGGTTGACAGGGGCACAGGCCACACTTTCCCATCTGCTTCTAGGAGCTTCTGACCAGGAGGCGACAGCTGTCATGGCCCAGGCCACCCATTGCCTTGCACCCACATCAGGCACTCCCACACAGCTCTGCCACTGATGTTTTGGGGAGACCCCCTCTGTGTGGTGTTGGCTGTGGGCCCAGCAGAGCCAGAACTGGCTGGGAGAGTTGGCTATTTGAGATGTGATTCTGTTTTCCCATGAAGCTTGAACAGGCCATTTAAAGGGCATTTTTTTAGTGGCTTGCTATGATGCTGAAATCATCCTACACAACAGCTGGGTAATAAGACTAGCATAGCTCAAACTATTCTGCTAAAAGCTATCATTTGACTTTTCCTCTCCCCGCCCCCACCCTCCAGTCACCTCGAGTCACCTGTAAATTCATTTGTCATCTAAAGTGGAATAACAAATTGTCCCTAGCGAAACTGCTGAGCGCTTTATAATTTTGTGGTGTATTTTTGTCAGTAGGTAGCAGAGGCTGAAGTATTTTTTGGTGTAATTCTTGAACTTTTCTGACAGGAAACAAATAAAGATAGATGTGTCTGAGAGTCTTGACCTTCCTTTGCATTTTTCTTCATCTTCTGCTCAGTGAGCCTGGTGGGGAAGATGCAGGGGGCAGGGTGTCCTGTTAGGCTGGGGCTGGAACTGACATGGGGGGACCTCCATCCTCCGCCTGTGGGGCCCGAAATGATGCTGAGGTCAGAGGCAAGGACCAAGAGATGCAGCTGGCTCTTGTCTTGCAGCCCAACATCCTTCATCCTGTGAGCATCTGCTGAGCACCTGCAGAGGGCCAGGCTGTGCTGGGTATGTATGGGGCACCCCGCCCCAGATGACACGTATTCACCCCCTGAAGTCTGGAGGTAGAGTCAGATGTGGAAACAGACATTGGCATTTGAAGAGTCTGAGAGTGCCATCTGGCCGTTAGCCAACAGATTGAGAAGGACACTGATGATGAAAAGGGACGAGTGGACCCTTTTCATAATGAGCCCACTTGAAGCTTATTATAACCTCAGCAGGTAGAGATTACTGGTCCCCATCTGACAGATTAAGACACTGAGGCTCAGGAGGATGGAGAGATGCCTGGGGCTCTAGCAGATGAGCTGAGATTCAAACTCAGGTGTGTGTGACTACTTTATCCCCCTTGACTGCTTTTAAAAGACCCAGAGCAACACTGTCAAGGCTCATGCCTCAGGAAGTCAAGTCACACTTATAAAAGCAAACTAGCTTATTCTTTACCCGAGTCAGCGTCAGCAGTGAGTGTTAAGGATAGCAAACATTTAACAGCCCCTTGCTACCTGCCACATACCATTGGAACTTCCCCGCAGCTCAAATGGGAAAGAATCTGCCTGTGATGCAGGAACTGGGTTCGATACCTGGGTTCAGTCCCTGGGTTGGGAAGATGCCTTGGAGAAGGGCATGGCATCCCACTCCATTCTTGCCTGGAGAATCCCATGAACAGAGGAGCCTGGCGGGCTGCAGCCCAGGTGGTCACAAGGAGTGGGACCCAACTGAGCGACTGACACTGTTGCTGCCCCGTGCCAAGCATGAAGTGCTTCGGGTGTCTTGGTTCCTGTAGCTCTTCCTCCAGTTTCATGAGTTGGGTACCCCCATCCTCAACACCACTGTCTTCGTATGATCATCACCCCCATTTTGAGATGAAGGAGTGGAAGCTCAGAGCAGTGCATCATCTACAAAGGAGGCCTGTCGTTAGGAAGCAGCCAATTCCAACCCACACATTGAATACCAGTGTCTCAACAATTGTGCCATTCTACCAGCCCATCTCTGCACTTTGCTTGGGAGTTTCTAGTGTGTGTTCACAACTCTTCTCAGACTCAGATGGCAGGCCATTGAGGGAGAGGCCAGGAGTGACTGGGGACAGAGACGAAGGCTGAGGCTCCAAGCTCAGTGCTGCACCGGGGTGGTGGCCGTGCATGCGTGGCTGGGGGGATGGAGGAGGGGGTCACCTGACGTCTGCCCTTTGGGGCCTCACAGACTGCTGAGCACGAATGGGCCTTAGACAGCCCCACCTGCACACGCAAGGCCTGAGAGTGTGGTTTCAGGGCCCAGTGAGCTGGGCAGGCAGGGCTGTGGGCTGGCCTCCCACTGGCAGAGGCAGCCTCATCCATACGGCCAGTGTGTAAACACCCACTATTTTTCTCAATTACACAGAGTCAGCTAAAGACTTAACGAACACATGCTCAAACATTCTGTCATAAATGGATTTGCCACTCCATTGCCTCAAAAAAATAAACCGAAGCTATCTTTTCTCTGGAATGCAGGCTCTGTGAGTGTGTGACTGAAGGAAGCGTGCACGTCAGGGACAGGAGACATGGCAGAAATTTCTGGTTCGAGGAGAGGCCTGGGGCCATGTGCTATTCCTGGCAGAGTCAGAATTTTCTCATCAGAAAAAAACAGGAGGATGCTTAACTCCTCCTCCAAATGCCCAAAGAGTGGGAGATTAGTTCTAGGAGAGTTTAATCATGTGGGTTTGGTTGGGGGAAGCTGCTCTGGGTTTTGGAGCGTGGGGTCTCGCAGGACTCTGCTGGCTGACAAAGGGTTAAGCCTGGAAATGGTAAAGATAGCTCTTTGGTTCATAGAACAAGCTCTGTTTGGGGATTTTGCACTTTTGAATCTGCTCACCAGCAGTGGGGACCTCTCTCAAGACGCTCACTGTCTGTGGGAAGGGCAGGCACTCATTCCACGTGTGCACAGGTGGGGAGCTGGGGCAGAAGCCCTCAGGAGGAGAGCGTGGAGGTGGGGTGCCATCAGGGGCTCTCGGAGGAGCTCGACTTAGCCTCAGCCTTGACCCATTACGTTTTGACAGGGAGAAATCAGCAGGTGCAGAGAAGACACCCCGGACTCATCCCGCAGGCCCTGGGAATGCGTCAGTAAGGTGCTAAGGGAGACAGCCCAGGGCTCGGAGGTCTCCCCGCCGCCAGCACCAGACCCCAAGGTTAAACACTGCCCTGGGGCTCGTGGTTCAGGCCGGGGGACAGGGAGGGAGATAAATGATGATACAATTGCTGCACTTTGGGGAGAGGCAGGGATGGCGCCTGGGGTGATCCCAGCCATCAGTCAGGTCCGAAGATATAAGGGAAAGGTACGTTTTTCTGGCAAATTGAAAGACCACTCGTCAGAACTGCTGTCAATCATTTTATTCCCACCCCACCCCCACCCCTACGATGTGCTCTAATCCCAGGGGGTCTCTTCTGGAGGAAGAGGAAGAAGTTCTCAATCGCTTTCTCAACAAGTACACAACACAGTCTCTTTAGAAAAACAACATGCCCAAACCGTTGAGGGAAAAGGGTCGGTTTCCATGGCAACATCAATGCCAGGAGAGGCAGTCTGGCATGGCGGGATGTTCATTTGACTCTGCTCTTTTGTCAGAAATGATGTGTTTCAGAGAACCCAGCCCCAGAGATCACGAGTCCAAGTTGCCTGGAGAGATGGCCACGGCCCTCTCGGACACCCTGCTCCTTCTCATCTCCTCTCTGTCTGGATCTGTCCTTGTCTTTGTCTCTGCCTCTCTGTCTCCTTCAAGGGGGCGGTGTCTGGAGGTGTGGACTGGTGCTGTAATTTATGCTTCAATTTGAGGTCGCTGGTGAGCGCTGTGCTGGGTTTGGGTCCGGTGTGGGGTTGGGTGTGCGGTAGAGAGCAAGACAGCTTAGAAGGAGCTCAGAAGAAACATGGCATTCAAATTCTGCTCCTCTTGGCTCTGGGGCCTTGGTTGGTTCCCTTCTTCTCTCTCTAAGCTGCAGTTTCCCTGTCTCTAAAACAGGGATAATAATTTTTATCTGCCTCTTTTTGCAAAAAAAAGCAATGAAATAATATACACAGTTCTACCTATAGCAGGCACTCAACAAGTTGTAGCTGCTGTTATCTTGAGTCTCTCAGATTCCGTTTCCTCACTTGTAAATTGGAGTTACTT